ACCGCGTCCAGGTGGGTCTTGAATATCTCCAGAGAAGGAGACTCCACAACCTTCCTGGGCAGCCTGTTCCAGTGCTCCGTCACCCTCAGAGGGAAGAAGTTCTTCCTCATGTTCAGACGGAACTTCCTGTGCCTCAGTTTGTGCCCATTGCCCCTTGTCCTGTCACTGGGCACCACTGAAAAGAGCTTGTCCCCATCCTCCTGACACCCACCCTGCAGATATTTGTAGGCATTTATAAGGTGGGTATGAGCTCACGGGAGGGAGGGCGCTCGGCCCGTGCGAGCGGAGCAGGGCGCTGGTGCTGGGTGGGGGGGGGGATTGCTTCCCCGGGGCTTGGGGCACGCTCTCAGCCCTCCCCGAGCCTTCCCCTTCCCCCAGCTCGGTAGCAGCGGACTTTGTCCTTTCGGCGGGAGGCTGTCAGGTGTATTCCTCGGCTCGTATATTGGAGGACGCGAAGTCCCAGCGACGCAGTTGGGAGCCCAGCTGCTGGGCCGGTGGTGCACGGGACGAGGATGGAGGTGATCCTCCGGCACGCCTGCCTGCCTGTGGCTTTCACTCCTGCTTTTGCCAAAAGACTTGCATTTCAGTCTCGCTGATCGTTTACTCCCTCCGTTAACCATCTTCTTTGTTTGTGGCATTTGTTTGCTTCGCTATGGCAACGGTTCGGGGTCAGGTCTGTTGCGGCTTCGCGGTGGGATCGGGCTGGTGAAGGAAACGGGCTTTAGGAGGAGAGGAAGCGCATTGTTTGCACAGTCTTTGTGAAGCTTTTCTTACGTGTGACAGCAAAGAACCTCATCTGGAACAATTCTAATAAGAAAAAGGAAGGGGGGGAGAAGAAGGTTGTCAGACAGGAGGTGTTGAATGTTTGCAGATCATCTGTGATAAAAAAAATTGAGCCCGTCCGCCTGTCATCGAGCCGTGCTCAGAGACGGGCAGGCCTCGCTGGGAGAAGCCTGGGCAGGTCGAGCCCCGCTCAGCTCTGTGCAGTCCCGGCGTCGTGGTTCTGCCTGCCCGGGATTCCCGGCGTTCCTGCGCCGAAGGCGAGCACCCGTCTCCCTGCCTGTTCCGCTCTGCGCTCGGGCACCCGTGGGAATTCCGCTTTTCCTATCGATGCAGCTGGCAAACAGCCGCCTCCTGGGGTTTTTTTTAATCCCCTCTTTTCCCCTTGCGTTTTTCCATATTGATTGAATCCGCAGGGTTGTTTTTAATGCAAAGGTAGGCTGCGAATGTGTGTCGTGAAAATTACCTCCCGAAACATCCCAGCCTGGATGCTGGAGGTCCGTCCTCTTCCCAGTGAGCTGGCTGGCTCCGGTCGCGCCACAAAACCGTTAGCCCTTGGCTTGACTCGGGTGCATTCCCAGCCTCTCTACAGAAAACAGGAGTGTGACAACTTGAGACATCCTCCCTCCAGGCTAGATGGCTGTGATTATTTAAAATAAAAGACAATTAGAGGAAAAGTTCAGCTCTTCGCCTTAGAAGGTAACTGGAATTACAGAGAAGTGGAAACGCTCTGGTGTTGCAGAGCCTGATCAGGGAACTAAAAATTCTAGTTTGCCTCAAGTCCTTTGTTTTTTAATGTATTTCTGGTTTCCTTTCTCGACAGGGTCACAGTGTCATTAGGTCCGCCACAAATACGACTCTGCCCCATATGCTTATGTCGCAGCGTGTGATTGCTCCGAACCCTGCCCAGTTACAAGGGCAGCGGGTTCCTCCTAAACCTGGCCTCATCCGCACTACAACTCCAAGCATGAATCCAGCCATCAACTACCAGCCGGTTAGTAGGTTACGGACTTGTCGCTGGGCTTTGGGCACGGGTGCCTGGTGGGGTTAGCAAGGAGGGGAAACAGGAGGTGCCACGTGAGTCTGATGAGCGCTGCGGAGGTGCCCGGAGCGCAGCGCGAAGGCGTCGGAGCGAAGCTTGCAGGTGGAAATATATCCCAAGCGTGGATGAAGACGGACGTCCTTGACCCGCGTGGAAGAATGAAGCGATAGATAATTTTAAAACTTCCCATTTGGAGCCGCCAGCTGGTTTGTCCGCTCAGCCCCGGGCTCCCACTGACCCCAGTGAAGCGGGG